TTTTTTTTTGTGTATGTAACATATATGCTAATCCAAACCAATGATTCTAATAAATCTGTTAAAATAAAAAATAAGTCTTGATAAATAAAAGTTCCAAAATCGGCTACATATAATTATTTACATAGTCTTTGACTACAAAACCACTATCAACGTAATTAAAGAAAACCAAGAATTTACTAAAACAAACACAAACAGAAAATCGAGTTATATAAAAATTATTCAATTAATGATTTATTTTTTATTTAAATCATTTTATATTTCCATCTATAGTAGGTAATTAATGTTTTGAACCGAAAATGCTCATAAAATGTTCGAGTATGAAAAAATCATATGTTATTAAAAACCTAATTGTAAACAATATTATTAGTTTGATTATTGGGCCCACTACAATAAAATGATAAAATTCCAATGGAAAAAGAAATTATTCCAACGACAATTCCAACGGATATTTCAATACTATTATTTCTGTTGGAAATTTTCAATGGATTCCAATGGAAATCCCAACAAAAATATTCCGTCCATTGGAATGATTTTTCTATTGGAATTTCTGTTGGATTTTGACGATTCTAACGGTAGATTTTTCAACGGGGTTGAAATAAAAATTTCAACGGAATTTGCATATTCCAACGGAAAATCCTACGGTAAAAAAATCATTGGAAATATAGCAGTTGAAATCATCAAATTTCTAAGATTGAAACTCACTCTTGTTTATTGTCATGACAATATAAATGAATGTTTATCTAAAAAACTTATTCTTTGAAATGTAGTGATCGTGTGTTATTTATTAATTTCGTGATTGATGGACTCTTTTATTAATTAGTTGGTTTGAATCAATATATAAAAAATTTTGTTGCCAATCATTATTAGAGTTTTTAAATTAATTTGTATAAATGCATAAATAAAATGAGACATAAACTATGAAAATTTTTTCATCTTTTGAAATCAAATAAATGACAAACACTATCTTTTAAAGTAAAAAATGATAATGATTATAACATTGTATTATCAAAACCGATAAGGTATATAAAATTTGTTTCCTTTTCAAATCGATAATGAAGAAAAAAGTATAATTGGTGAAAAGTTGATATATACAAATCATGATTTAAAAAATCTGATATATACAAATCTTAGCATGCGGTTTCAAATAATTTAATAATATAATAATAGGCTGAATGAATTATGATTCAAATTCATGCAAAGAAAATTTTGAACAGATT